GTTATTTTATTCTTTTTAGAAGACTTTTTTGAGATATGTTTTATTTTATTTTATTTTATTTTATTTTATTTTATTTTATTTTATTTTATTTTATTTTACATACACTGATGTGACCTGATGTGACCAGGCTGTTGTGTGTGTGTGTGTGTGTGTGTGTGTTTATTTGTTTGGAGTGCCTTTGCCTTACATTATACTCCAGGACTTATGCATTAACTCTTTCATGATGTGGCTTTATTTTTTTTTAAAAATATATCTTTTATCATTCTCTCTTATTTCCATACCAACCCACTCTTTCTCTGCTTCCTTCCCTTTTTCAGGGGTGGGGTGGGGTGGGGGGGAGAGAGAGAGAGTTTTTGTGATTGATTGCCTGTCGAATCCTGCAGAAAGGACACGAAATTGAAGTCCAGCATTCAAGTGAACAATTAATTAATATTCACATGAATTAATTTCAGTGTCAAACACTGGCCATGGCTAGTCACAGCATTGGCAGATTTGCTTTTATTTTGAGAGGGGGGAGAGAGAAGGAGGTGGGTGGGTGATGGGGTGGGTGGCTGGGTGATGGGGTGGGTGGCTGGGTGATGGGGTGGGTGGCTGGGTGATGGGGTGCGGTGGGTGGGTGATGGGGTGGGTGGGTGGGTGATGGAGTGATGGGGTGGGTAGCTGGGTGATGGGGTACGATGGGTGGGTGATGGGGTGATGGAGTGGGTAGCTGGGTGATGGGGTGGGTGGGTGGGTGATGGAGTGATGGGGTGGGTGGGTGATGGGGTGGGTGGGTGATGGAGTGATGGGGTGGGTGGGTGATGGGGTGGGTGGGTGATGGAGTGATGGGGTGGGTGGGTGATGGAGTGATGGGGTGGGTGGGTGATGGAGTGATGGGGTGGGTGGGTGATGGGGTGGGTGATGGAGTGATGGGGTGGGTGGGTGATGGAGTGATGGGGTGGGTGGGTGATGGAGTGATGGGGTGGGTGGGTGATGGAGTGATGGGGTGGGTGGGTGATGGAGTGATGGGGTGGGTGGGTGATGGAGTGATGGGGTGGGTGGGTGATGGAGTGATGGGGTGGGTGGGTGATGGAGTGATGGGGTGGGTGGGTGATGGGGTGGGTGGGCACTGTAGGGAATCGCTTATAAGATCAATATTAGTTGCATAATGGGTTCAAACCCGAAAGCTGAATGACTTGACCCAAATAATGGATTCACATCAGCGTTGACCCGATAGTGCATCAGATCTCTTTATCAGTAACATACTGGGCAAAGCGTGAGATGGATCGGGACGTATTACGTTTGTCATTTGTCCAAATGTCTAGTCTTATATCCAGAATATCGACAAACCATTGTTTTTTTGTTTTGGAGGGTGAAAAAAAAACCATGTGTTGTTGTCTGTATCCTTGTAAACAGAGGCTCTTAAAAGGGAGGTGTTATTTTTCTAAAGTTTAAATTAACATTTTATTTTTTTTTATCAAAAACCACCTTCTACACTCGCTTTTACTGTATTGTTCAACGACTCCTTGGAAACAAGAGTTAACAGTGGACTTGTACCTTATCCACTCTTGTCAGCCCGCGTTTCGAGGTCAACACATTCACAGTGCTTTCTTTTCTTTCTTTCTTTCTTTCTTTCTTTCTTTCTTTCTTTCTTTCTTTCTTTCTTTCTTTCTTTCTTTCTTTCTTTCTTTCTTTCTTTCTTTCTTTCTTTCTTTCTTTCTTTCTTTCTTTCTTTCTTTCTTTCTTTCCTTCCTTCCTTCCTTCCTTCCTTCCTTCCTTCCTTCCTTCCTTCCTTCCTTCCTTCCTTCTTTCCTTCCTTCCTTCCTTCCTTCCTTCGTTTGTTTATTTGTTTGTATTTCTTAAAAGTGGAATTAAAGATATTTCATCCAAAGGAGAGTGAGAGAGAGTGTGTGTGCAAATGGGACCTTGGAAGTGCAGCCCTTCTGCAATCCTCCCACCAAATACCAACAATACAGGAGAGAGCTTTCCCTCAGCTCTTGTAAAGTTAATGGGATTACCTCCACCGCGGTTACCTTTTATTCTCCAGTCTCAACTCTCCTCATGTATTTCCTGAAATTGATTTAACTTTCCTCTTAGACTTTTAGGCCAAAAAAAAATGACACATCCCTTTTTTCTCTCTCTCTCTCTCTCTCTCTCTCTCGCTTTCTATCTCCCTCAGTCCTGAATGTCCTCTTGGCCTGAAAGGCTCTGTACAAAAAGTTCTAACCTGACGATCAATCGTGACGGTTTGAGAGGAGTGAGAGGGTCAACATTTTGTCCGTTTCCGTTTCAGATCGAAGCAATTGTTTTTTTTCTTTAAAAAAATCACATGTGAGGAATGTTCTATGTTTGCACTTGTGTCTCTGGTGGGATCTCAGGGTGGGAGACCAGCGATTGATGGAAACTTAGCCACTGACAGCAAGACTCAGGGTCGGATTGCGGAAACGTTCGGATGGACAATTCAGGAATGCTGTGGGAGTTCGACTTCTTTCACCGGATGGACTTAAAAATTAACATTAAT